CGCAAAGATTGCAACGCATTCTAATGTTAGCATTTCAACACGTAAACCGATATTAACACAGCAACTTGCCAGTTTCCAGAGCCAATAATGCAGACTTTCTTCGGAGCTGCCATCGTGGAGAGGTAAACCGATGAATAGGGGTTGAGTCAACACAGACTGTGGACCTGCAGTGTGGTTATGCAACACGCTGAGCAGCATCTTATTGGCCTTCCGGGGGGAGACTCTGCACCGCCCTTTAAAATTAGGGCCAAGTCCGGTCACTCATTCATCCACAGCCCCTGGGCTCAAAGTAAAGCGGGCAAAAGTGAAGTCTGCAGGCATTCCACGTGTTATGACCTTTATATATACACAGTCTATGGTTATGACCCAATACCTCTGGTTAATGATGTGATAAGTGTGTGTGCAAACAGTCTTTTAAGCAGACACAGTGGTACAGGGTTCTGTACTTAATCCTTCTGTCCTACTACTTGATCTAAATCCACCTCAATTCAGGTATATTGTGCTGCATGATAGCTTTAGTTATTTGACGAATAGTTTTGCAATACAATTATAATAAATAATAGATCGATTTAAAGTATTTTTCTTTAGATACTTACTTTAGTGCTTTTGTTTTTTAAGTTGAACTTTAAATGCATGGATTTTTACTTACTTTTAAGTATTTCTACCCTGTGGTTACTTCTTTTACTTGAGTAGAAGTTTCAAGTACTTTTTCAACCACTGTTTGCCAGAAGGTACACCCAGTGGTGGACAGTATTGTGGGCTACATAGGTAGGCCTACTAGTTTGATGTACTTTACTGAAGTAATTCATGAATTGCACTGCTGTACTGCTGCTGTACTACATTTCACAGGATATACTTTTGTAATAGTATTTTTACATTAAAGTATTGATACTTTGATTTTGTGTAAGATGAAAACACACTTTTCATGATCAAACACTCATAAACTGAAGACTGATTATATGAAACATGATGCATTGCTATAGATTAAACTACCTTATGTTATATAATGTAGATAAAAAACCTCCATCACCACCAAATTAAAATGCTGAATACTGAGAAAAGTTTTTCATTTAGGGCTTTTGATTCTAGTCCTCTCCCTGCTTCCACCACAGTCAAAAATATAGCCGGTGTGAGGGAAACTTCTGAGGCAATTGGAAACAGGACTCAGAGAGGCACGTGGAGAGCTGGAGCTTTGATGGCAAACACTGATGGTTTATTTGGAGCTTCGGCCGGATAATTCACATGACATGTCATGAGCCACGAGTTGACACAGGTTGAGATGCCAAATCAATTCTGAATAACTCTTCTGTAGTTCGAGGTTTTCACTAGTTCGAAGTGTAATAATCAACATTCTTTATCAGCGAGACTAATCAAATATGGGCCCTGAATCTAACAGCTGTCGTCCATAGAAAAGAATGTGCGCCAGGGAACCTAGGTTCCAGAAAAGAAGGGCCTCTAGATGTCCCTGAACAATAAACTATCTCATGTCAGCTTGTGCTCGGTCATAAACTGGCAGCAACAATGCGCCCAAGCTGCCCCTCCTTAAGAGAGATAGCAGCAATTCCCAAGGCCGCCAGGGGTGTCAAACTAAAACACACAGTGGGCCAAAATAAAAACATCTGTACTAGTCGAGGGCCGGACTGGTTCCATTTTTATTGCAAAACGTATTGAAATGAACTTATTGCACATATTAAACCTGGAACTGACAAAGCTTAAGCCTTAAATGATTGCCTATAAAAAATCAGTTGCATTCATTTCTTATGGCTCTATCTGCAGCTTTTCCGGAGTCATTTCTTATGATTACATTTTTCCACAAGCCAACAGCAGCTTCAAAAAAACAATTTCCCTGAAAGAAAACAAACAAACATGCCCTGTTGTCGCAAGAAAATCAGTTTGCTGCTCTGTGATGCTAGTTCAAGCCAGATACTTGGCATCTCATCTTGGGTGCAAGTTCATCAATGTTTGGGGTCAGGCTCTGAGCTGAGGAAACCCTCAGGGTTGAGTGAAGGTGTGCGTGCAATATACCGGCGGGCCAGATCTAATAGTAATTAGAAATTATCCTGCGGGCCGAAATTAAATCCACCACGGGCCTGATTTGGCCCCCGGGCCTTGAGTTTGACACATGTGCCGTAGACCTATGCCATGGGAAAAGAGACAGTGAAAGGAGAAAAGTTTAACTGTGTCAGTGGTTGAATACCTAAGCAAATATTCCCTAATAGCCGGCACATTACAAATCATGAGAGCGATCATAGAAAGTGTACTGTCTGAGGAATTATTTGGTCTGGAGGACTCAAACAAAAGGGGAACTTGTTGCATAAGAGTTGGAAGAAAAGACAAACAGGAAGAAACAAAACTCCAGATTCAGCAGTCTGGTTTCCACAAGCAAAATCCTGCATATTTAGTGGAAGTGGGCTTACAGCCTTAGACACATGAAGTAATTCACTCTCATACGGCAACAGTCGCTATGCCATGGGAATATCTTAAAAGTATTTGTTCTGGACAAATATAAGTTTTGATTTGATAATAGTGCAAAATAAAAAGCAAAGGGATCATCAGGGTTATTATAATTCAACCTGAAATTGTCAAAAGTCAATGTCATGGTGGCGATAGAAGAAGTCAGAGGACCACCAAAGTATTCAGGGATATTGTCTGGAAATCATGAATTTCTTTGGGTAAAGTTGGGTAAAAAAGTGAATATGATTCAGTTGTGACACAAGTGTTATAGCGACCACATTTCCCAGAGCCATGACTCTTGCCATGCTGCAAATGATAAAGAAGTGGAAATCTGTATGATATCCCCTAAAATTAAAGATATTTCTAGGATAATTCTCATGAGAGAAACAAGGCCTGGGCAAAGGCTAGGAAATCAGGCTCAGAGGTAGAATGGCTGCGTTTTAGGCAGCTAAGGAATAGCTTCACATCGCAAATCAAAAGTGCTAAATCAAAGTACTATCTGTCAGTAACCACAAAGAATCTGAATAATCCTGGAAAATGTTGGAAAGCCATTAAATCGTTATCCACCGGCGATATCCGTAATGAGCTACCTCCGTGCATTACCACAGCAGCTGGCACTATATCAGACAGGGCTACTATGCTAAATTGCTTTAATGAGCATTTTGTGTCCTGTGGCTCTCTGTTTGAATCTGTCACTAACTCTGCTTCTGTGAACACTACAGTATGGGACTCTGAAAAACGTGTGTTGGAAAACCCTTTTAGTTTTACCCCTTTTACTGTTGATGTTGTTCGTGAAGCTTTAACCAAGTTAGATCCTAAGAAACCGGCTGGCCCGGACAACGTAGAACCTTTCTTTTTAAAGATAGCTGCAGATTTTATTGCTCCACCTCTCACTACTCTTTTTAACCTCTCCCTCAGCACTAACACAATTCCAAAATTGTGGAAGTCAGCGTATGTCCTACCTTTGCTAAAAGGAGGGGAGGCCACCTTATTAAATAACTATAGGCCAATCTCTAAGTTGTCAGTTCTGGCTAAGGTTCTTGAACGCTTAGTGAGTGAACAGGTAAAGGTGTTTTTATGTAACAATGATATCCTGTCTAAACATCAGTCAGGCTTCAGAAAGCAACATTGCACCATCACTGCCACAATGAAAGTGGTGAATGATTTGGCGAGTATTTTAGATAATAAGCAGAGTTGTGCAGCTCTATTTATTGACCTTTCAAAAGCGTTTGATACCGTCGATCATCGCATGTCCAGCCATGCAGTAGGGTGGTTTGTGAACTACCTCTCTGAAAGATCCCAATGTGTTCACTTTGATGGGCTGTCTTCTGAGTGGTTAAACATTGCTAATGGTGTTCCTCAAGGTTCTGTTTTAGGTCCACTTTTATTCTCCATATATATCAATAGTTTAGGTGAAAATGTCGAAGGAGCAACCTTACATTTTTATGCGGATGATACCGTGATGTACTGTGCAGGTCCCTCCATTAAGGAGGCTGGTGTTAAATTACAGGCTGTTTTTAACATTATTCAGACTCAGCTCTCTGAACTAAAGCTTCTTTTAAATGTTGAGAAAACCAAGGTAATGCTCTTTTCAAAAGCTAAAAAGACACCTGAGCCTCTTTTAGATATTGTAACTACGCAAGGAATAACACTTGAAGTGGTTACCTGTTACAAATACCTAAGTATCTGGCTTGATGATTGTCTCACTTTTAAACTTCATGTCAATAACCTGCTTAAAAAGCTGAGGGTTAGGCTAGGTTTCTTCTACAGGAACAAGTCCTGTTTCTCGCTTGAGGCCAGGAAAAGGCTAGTCACTGTGACCTTTTTACCTGTGCTGGACTATGGTGATCTGATCTATATGAATGCACCTGCTAATTGCCTGGTCAAGTTAGATGCTGCGTATCACAGTGCACTGAGATTTGTGACAAACTGTAAAGCATTAACGCATCACTGCACCCTGTATGCAAGGGCTGGTTTGCTTTCACTAACTGTACGGAGGCTCAGTCACTGGTACATTTTTATATACAAAGCCATGTTAGGGAAACTTCCATCTTATATCTGCTCCCTGATCTCACGGAAAATTGTAAGTGGCTACTGCCTGTGATCGAATGCTGTGGTTTTATTAAATGTGCCAACTGCTAGGACTGTCTTAGGGAAGACAGCTTTTAGATGCGCAGCTCCTCTGTCTTGGAATAGTCTGCAAATTAAATGGAAACTGAACAATCTGGTGCCACTAAATGTTTTTAAAGCTCGGTTGGATGCTACTCAATCGGAAGCTATAGGTACCTGTTTATGTGGATAATTATGTAAATGATGCTTTATGATGTCCTTTTGTTGTTCTATTTATGTTTTTATGTTTCATGTGGAACTACTTGAGCAGGTCTCCCTTGAAAAAGAGATCAATGATCTCATTGGGATTTATCTGTATAAATAAAGGTTTGAAATGAAATGAAATGAATATAAACGATCACACGGAACACCCTAAGTGAATAAAAGAAACGTAACGTTAGCATTTTATCTTTAATATAACTGCTTCAAGTCCATTATTTATTTTTACAACACCAGACTGAAATATTAAATTCATACCTCAAGATAAAAAATGGAGGCAAAATATAAAACAAAACCTAAAAGAAGGACAGCCTGTGGACTTATACTGAGATGCATGACCTCATGCAGCAGACGCTAGAAAACAACCACTCAACACAGAAGAAGCCGCTGTTGCAACACAAACAAAAAAGGAGTAATACATATATATTGATACACATACTTTTCATAATCAAACCTACAATCATATGTAAAGGAAAAGAGACACACAGCTAGTCTATATTAAAGAAATAAAACAAGTACAATATTTCATAGATCAGACTAATACAATTATATTATTATCCAGTATTTACAATATAGTTAATGGCATGGTTGTGCTTAATAATTACACTACACTGGTAAACACTTCCAATTTCCTGTTAAGAATAACATTGAGCTCAATGGGAATGAGTGTATGTCGATTAACTGCAACAGAATGTTGTCTGACCTTTGTAAACAGAGTCAGAATAAAGATAGATTTAAACATGCAACGACATGTTTACAGCCCAACTGATATACAGTGGTTTGAATAGCAATTCCTATTTTTCCGCTTCTAAATCAGGCAACTTTGTTCACACACACACACACACACACACACACACACACACACACACACACACACACACACACACACACACACACACACACACACACACACACACACACACACACACACACACACACGATTATGTTGTCAGTTTAAGACCCATACTGTACAATGCTACGTGCAATGTAGAGCCCTAAAAGATAGCAAAACACATTCAACATAATATACTCAGTACTTTTATCTTGCCATATGACAAACAGCCTCTATGTGTAAAACTCATAGACTGTATATAGAATATATATAAAATGTCCGACACCCCCTTAAATTAATGTCTGTTTTGCACTTTAGCCAGGAAATATTTTTACAGTGATTGTCATTTAATGGAAATTTGAAGGCAGATCTTTCAGTTTGTAGCACCACATGGAGAAGAGCTTTAGACATTTGTTCATAATATGGTTTGTGTACTTTTATTTTGTATCTGCATACACACCCATCTCTTTTTCATGTTAAATGTCTTGTTTTAGCTAAATAGTTTTAAAGCAGAAGTTCAACATTTTGGGAATGAAGCGCCTGTTGGATGAAATTATTGATACCACTCTCACAGTCAGGAGCCAGTTAGCTTAGCTTAGCAAAAAGACTGACAACAGATGAAAACAGCTAGCCTGGCTCTACAATTTTATTAAAGGGTAAAAGAAAATGTGTTTAACTGAATTTGTAAAGAAATGTTCTAAAATATATTAATTTGTGAGCTTGAGAAGTGCTGTAGGCAGATTGTGTTATCACTTAAAGCGGTTTTCTCTCTTTGTGCTAAGCTAGCCAGGTACTGGCAAACAAGTCGTATCAATCATCAAACTCTAAGCAAAAAAGCAATCAAGCATATTTCCCAAATATTCCTTATCTAGTTTAGTACACTATGACATGGGTTTTGTTGCTACAGCTTTATTTGACCAGGTATAACCATTAGCTTATGGTGGCTAAGTTAGCAGACTAAGATACCGCTGCATCACACTACATGCTAGCATTTTCTTTTATCTTGTAATCGTCCCTTAATTTTGTCACAACAGACATTTTGACTTGTCATTGCAGGTAGAACAGAGCTGTTATTATTATCAAACTATTACCAATGGCTCTGTTCTGTTCAAGTGCCACATTTAGCCATGACAGTTTGATAGCGAGCCGACTCGCACATAACAGGACGCTGAAACTGAAGCAGCTTAATGGAAATCACCCATCATTAATTTCATTATTTTTACCTTTTATTTTTCCTAATGTGACAAAATGTTTTTTGATAAAAAGACCTATGACTGCTGCTCAGCTATGGTTGTGTGGGCTCACTGTATGGCCAGATGTATTGTTTTTTCAACCTGCTCATTTCTAAACATGGAAACAACCTTTTTTATTATTAATTAGCTTGGCTTGTCAATTCTTAAAGGCGCTGTCACACCCTGCAAGATGAGGTAGTACAGTATACAGGCAAAACGCTCAGATTTTAACAAGGGAAGACGTCGGTTATAAGATGAGGTTGGGTGAAAGGAATATAAAAATGGAAAGTTGGTTGGAGAGTCTAGAACAAAAGCGATAATTGAACATTTGAAGGTAAAAAGTGAAAAGAATGTGAAGCCCTCACATGCAAATCCCATAAAAACTGAAATAATAACATTTTGTGAGCCTGTCACCTGTCACATCTATTATTTCACAAAAAGTCCTTCAAATCCACAAACAGCGCCACACAGCTGGGATATCTAATGATTCACTGAACACATATGAGCTCAGTTCATGCCCCCATGTACTGTATCTGTTACTATGTCTTGAGAAGCTGTTTACAGATGACCATGCAACATGTCTGCTTTCTGCTGTCCTGCTGTCTCTGTGGCTTCTCCTTTCTTCAGCCTTTATCCCCTTCATAAACAAACCAGGCACAGTTAAGACACTTCCCTCCGTTTGATCCTGCAGTCTGGAAAACTGCAACAAACAAAGTCCAACAAAACCGCTCCGAGACGAGAGTGCAGGGGCTCCGCCTAATGAAAGTTACTGACGTGACACTTGACGTCGTCTAAGCTCAGCACCGTCCCCTGGTCGTTGTTGTTGTTGTTGTGCTTGTGCTTCTTATCAGAGCAGCGACACAACTTGTACTTTATCACCTGCAAGGGTCAAAAACAGAGCAGGTCACCTACAGTATTTAGGGGCTCAACAAAGGTTGTAGGAAAAGAAAGATATGACAAATGCTGAGGTAATTTATCAACAATGCACATTGAAAGGTTTCTCATTTTTTGTTAACCTTGCAATTATATATATTACAAAAAACCTTTTTAATTGTAGTTTCGCAATGAAATTATGAAAAAGGCCTTTTCCACTTTCATTGAGTATTTGTTCATTTTCAGAATTGTAACCCTTTAAATGCCAATTTCTTTCATATCAAAAAGCTCTAAAACTAGTAGAATCTGCTCATAAATTACAACCACATGTACTTGTATTAGCTCCCTGAAAGCTGCTATAACACAGAACAAATATATACAAGACCTTTGCGTCCTAGCTACAGCTCTGCATCTTGTAAATACTAACATGCATCAGGATATATTTAAATGTAATATATTTCCTGAAGAAGCCTCACCTCATAAAGGTAGTCAAATATCTCCAGAATAGTGAGTATGCTTGCTCCGATGAAAAGTCCCATCTGACCGCCGATATCACCTGGAATAACAGGATGCAAGCGGATGAAAAACATCCTCTACATCAACATCAGAAAGAGAATCTGTCTTCAGTGTATAAAGAAACAAATGTACCTAACAGTCCGGCCACTTCATAAGCTTTCTTCTGTTCAATGGTTTCATAGTTGAGGGCTTCAAAAAAGATGTCCAAAACCATAATATTCTCTCTGTGAAGAAAAGCAAAAAAAAGGGTTATACTTGAGAGCATTGTTTGCATTTCACACACAAAATGCAGGTTGTTGATGCTCACTTAATGTACTGCTCAGATTTGTTGTATTTCTTTGCCAGATATTTAGCGGAGGCCTTGCTGGGGATCTTGACGAAGGACAGCTCTTTGCTGTATCTGGTCATGTTGCACGGCGTCTCACACACACAGAAGTCGTTGTCTCTCTCCACCAGGAAGTCTGAAGAGAAAAAAAATAGAGCTCAGTTTGACCTTTTGAACAGACCTCCCTATTTAATAAGCACTTCATTTATCAGATGTACTTTTGTTAACAATGACATCACCAGTAAAAGAAAGTCTAACCAGGGACAGGGGTTGCAAATTAGCCCTGGCTAGAAACCCGCAGCACATTTTGTCGAGTTTGTTATTGTAAAATGCAAAATGTCATGGGATGTGTGTGTGTTTTTGATTGGTTCCTTAAAATATTCACATTAAACGTGGACAAAGCCTTTTTCTTACCGAGAGCTGGGTCAGCACATTCTTTGTACAGCTCGGGGGTGCAGTAGGGAGCGTCACCTGCAGCCAAACGGAAAAAACACATTAGTGACATGTCCTTTCTTTGAAGTACATGCAGTATTTTTGTATTATTATTAGGCAGGTTCCTACCAGGCATGTGCACCATGCGGCAGTTGCAGTTGTCCACCAGGTATCGTGTCTCACAGTCGATGCGACAGGCTGTGATGCTGTAACTGTCGAAGAAGTCTGAATCCATCGCAGACACTTTACAGTCTCCCCAGGGAGGAGGGAGGTATATCAGCTGCAACACACACACACACACACACACACACACACACACACACACACACACACACACACACACACACACACACACACACACACACACACACACACACACACACACACACACACACACACACACACACACACACACACACACACACACACACACAACTCTAATTATACACATAATCATTTTCTACACTTTATATTAAAATAAATAGTATTAATGATACTCTTTTATGTATATCTGTTGTTTTAAAACCCTGATATGAAGGGGTGGAAGAGTAAATTAAAGCAAATAAGAAAAAAACAGTTTGCTGCCATTTAATTGGAATGAATCAAGCAAGTAAAATAAAACTAAATCTAATCAATGCTTTGAAATGACTTTAAAGGATAATTCTGGTTGATCAAACATTCATGAATCAAAGAAGGGACGCTGTAACTTATAGAACAACGTGTCGTACAATTAAAAACATAAAACTGCTAAATAAAATAAAATAAATACATTTCCCTCTTTAAAGTTAACAAAGCTATACTGGGAACAAAATTACGAGAGAGGTCAGGAGCTCACCCTGGTTTTCAGACAAACCTGGTGTTGGGCAGAGCTATTAAACAAATCCCACTTGTAAAGAAGTTTTAAGTTTGTACCCTCTGTTCCTGGCAGGACACAAACGTCTGAAACCCGGGTGCCACTCCAAACCCGAGCTGGTCGATGAAGGACGGCTCGTCCTGGCTGTGGATCTGAACTTTGACCCCGGCTTCAAATGAAGTCTCATCTGCAGGAAATCAAACAATGTTTGGGGAGAATTAGTCACTGATGAATCCAGACACTTAGCAGAGTTAGAGTGGATAAATGTAACTTCATGTAAGTCAGTAAGTGTAATATTCTTGTCCTGTACTTGAGTATTTTCCCATTAGATGCAATTAGTTACTTGTCTACTTCATCTCAAGTATTATATTTGCTTACTCCCCTACATTAAGAGTTTTAATTACTTTTCATTTGACTGCTTATAGCCTTTCGGTCCAGTGATAACCATTTCTCTCCAATTTAATGATTTTGAATTGAATATGTTCTGATTAACTTAAGTATAAGCAAGTGTTCCTTTATGGGAAAAGAAAATGCTCCTACTTCTTTAGCATAACACGATTTACTATCAAAATGCTACTAAATAAAACATATCTTTTTAAACTGCCTTGAATTATTAGGAAAATGCATGGTCACAAAGCTAAAAAAAGGTAGTTTTTCATGAATTTCAGAGTTATGTGTTTTGCACAGGACAGCAACGATACTAACATATGATCAACTTATAAAATATGATGCATTGCTGTAGATTTATCAATCCAATAAATGATAAAGGAGTTAAAATCATTTGCAGAATGACTTCTTCTCATTTGATAGTCTAGTGTTTAACTTCGCTAAATACTCACATACTTTACACAAGGTTTGAATGTAGGAATTGTAATTGTAGTGGGGTGCTCAAAGTGTTTTATTACTACTTTTACTAAAGTCAAGGATCTGAATACTTCATCTACCACTAATGAGTTCACACTCTTGGGTATAAACATCTGCCCGAACACTTACAGATCTCACAGATCTACCAGCCCTCACCTGTTTCACCCCAGATAGGCAGGTATTCATCCTGCTGGATGTCCAGCATGAGCTCGAGTCCATTACCCATACCCCCCTTGGTGGTGAAGAGGGGAGTGCGTCCATCACCGCCGGCATTGAAGGTGTAGCACTTCCCGTAGCGAGTGAAAACCTGAGAGACACATGAGGAACATTATTTTTATAAGCTCTGCAAAATGTTTCTTAGCAAGGCTTTTCCACTGGGTGTCAGTGTTTGACTCCATTTCTGATATGTGTGTGTACGGGAGAGATAGTGTAAGAGGATCAGAGGATGTGTGACAGGAGTGAGAGAAGGAGTGTGACCAAAATGAAAAAGGAAGAAGGGGGAAAGAGGAGGACTCCCTGTGAGGTCTGTGAGTTACACAATGAACCCTGTGAGGTGATGGAGACTGTCAGCCCGGTGATTTAACAATCCCTCGCATGCTTCATGTCACTTTATAATGGACCTGATGTTACCATGGAGGCCTCACATCCCGATCGGGAAGAATGTAGCGTTAATTTTTAAGGAAAGCCAAGACATTCATGTTAGATTGAAAGCTGTGTGAGATATCAGCAAAAGCAGGACACCTTTAAACAGCATTTAAAACGTGATGCTGATTGACTGTAAATAGACTGATGCATATGCAGCTTTCTTTAGTGAGGAGTACATCTTGCATTAAAAGCGTTTAGTGTCGTGAGAGTCATATAACCAATGCAGGGAGAATAAGGGGGAGAGCAGGGAGCTCCAGAGAGTAGGGACGTAAAGTGAAAGAGACAGAAAGAGAGAGAGGGAGAGAACAATTGAGAGTTTAGTTTCCATCGCTCGAAGCAGGCTATTGTTCAGCGTTATGGCACAGAATGACATATCTATGATTAGCAACAACAAACCAACCAAGTAATTGTTGAGAATGAGTTTGGTCCTGCCAGGGGAAATTTCAACACTTCGGCCATATATCATGTACAGTCAGCGAGAGACTGCTGGTAGTAAGAGCAACACATCAATAGGAGGAGGGGAAAAAAACATCCATCAAGAAGAGCAAATAAAATGCACGGCAATCGGGAAACAATATGTGTTCACACATTTAGAGTCATTCTGACAAACCTGTAGGTGTTAGTCAGTCTTTGAGAGGACATTTTTGTATCACGTTAACAAGTGAGTTTACCCTGAGGAACCAGTATACTAAACCCCCCCATCCTCCCTTCTCCTTTGTGGTGACTGACCATTTCTGTAACTTTCCCACCAACAACCAAACGTTCACACCCACTTCACACTGTGATTAGCCAGCTGTGTGGATGTGAGAAAGCCTCAGCACTGCTCTCTCCAGATCTCCAAAAGGAAACTATTTCTGTTATTTTCGATGTGAACAATGGAGTACAACACTATGAATTCCCTCAAGGAGAGATAGTCTGAAAATGTTAATGTGACCAACTTTTTACGGAAAATCTAATCTTCTATCTCTTATGATGTTTGGTTTACTCCGTCTGAGATATGACTGCCTTCTCTTGAACAGAATGGAACGACATGGAACCCAGCTTGTGGTGCTCAAATCACCAAAATAAAATTATCTCCAGACATGATATTTGTAAAGATACATTACGGCAGAGTTTTCAAATGTCATTTTTGGGCGCTATGAGCAAGTGCCATCTATTTTTATTATATCTTAGGGAAGACATCTCCACAGTCAATGGGTGTTTCTCAATGTCGAGGAAGGCTGCTCCAGAGCCACTATTTCAAGCATACTACGTCATCGAGTGCCGCCGAAGGACTGTTCCAATGTCCAGCATACTTAGAATTCTACCGAGGCCGGTGTCAGTACCAGATATGTTCGGCCTACCAAATATGTTCGGGTGTATTTCCGTCGCATCCGTCATCCGTCATATCCGTCATATACTCACCTCCCTCTGCTCCCAGCGCTATGCTGCCACACACCGGCCGTCTGCGGAACTGCAGCCGGAGGAACTCGGTACAGCTTGTTATGTGTGAACGATCTAGATCCCTCCGCTTCCCCATAATTACCGCGACCATTTTAACTTTCATGACAGAAATGGAGAGCTTTTATGCTGAGATAAAGCAGTACGTGCTCAATGGTGGTTACCACAATCTCACCATCGCCGCTGAAAAGCATGATAAAAGGAAGGCGTTAATTCGGAGGGCATCCAAACAATACCTGATCAAAGGTAAGTAACAGAATAAGACCATGGTTAAGTCACGAACATACGTTTTTATTATGAGGTATAAACCCCCTGTACATGTGACATCATCACATCCCTTTACTTATAGGGATCAATAAAGTATATATCTATCTATCTATTTATCTAATGGTGTTTTTTGGTGCAAAAGTGATCATACCTCTAATGGTTTATCATATTGCAATTCCAACATTTTTCAGTAAATCGCAAGGACTCCACAGCTTGTTTCTCCTTTTTCTTTTTATACACACTTTACATTACTGTAGTTGTTACGTCTAAACCACATTTGCCACTGGATTTCTTGAACAGCTTTTAGTCATAATGTCATCTCTACACATGTCTAAATGATTGTTTTGTTGTTCCTGTTGTGCCAGCTGGAGATTTGTACTACACATACAAGGACAATGAGAGGATGGTTGTGTGCACCAAGGACCAAATTATCAATGTCCTGAAGGAGTGCCATGATAACCTGGGTTCCGGAGGTCATGCAGGGAGAAGGCGCACCACCGAGAAGGTTTTGGCAACGTACCACTGGTCCACTATGCGGGAGGACGTGAAGAAATGGGTGGGAGTTTTTGACTGACTGACTGATTATTGATCTACAGAAATGTGTTGTATGTGTACATTGAAACAGAGTGAGACATGTGTGGATCTCATTGGCCCACTTCCCTCCACTGCTAAGGGCAAAAGGTACTATCATGATGGGCTGAAGCATGTGTAACCTCCTTTAAAGGTTCTAAACGTGAAGAATCTGGTTTCAAAAGAAAGGAAATCATTTACAGTGATTCTGTATGTATTTACAACATTCTGCATTTTATATTGCAGATACATTCTAACAGCGACTGATCTGTTCACGAAGTGGGTGGTAGCAAAAACGCTCTACCACAAAACAGCTGTTGAGGTCTCAAAAAAGATTGTAAATATTCTTCTCGATTTCGGTCTTGTCGAGAAGATCATTACCGACCAAGGACGGGAATTTGTCAATGAGGTACAATAATCTATCTAATACAGTGTAAGTGTTATGTGTAACAATGTAATACGATTTTTCAGGTAATTTGGTAATCGGTGTACACTAAACCATCTGCAGGTCAACCGTGGTGTTTTCGATGCACTGGGTGTAAAACACTGCATCACTTCAGCGTACCATCCCCAGTGCAATGGCCAAGATGAGCGTACAAACCAAAACATAAAAAAAGCACTTGCAAAGTACTGTGGAGAGGACCAGAATTTACATCTGAGGGGCATTGTGGCGAGCATTAACACCTCAAAGCAGGTACAATGTTGTAACAAATGCAGATGGAAACAATACTCAACAGAGATACTAAAAGGAATTTGTATGCTTTCAGAGGTCAACCAAGTGCACGCCCTATTTTGCCCAGTTTGGGAGGCACCCTCGCGTCCCGGGTGTTATAAATGCTACAGTCAATGACAGGGATGATACCTCTGTTTTGGTGCCTGCTGATGAGGCAGAACAGCAGCTTGAGGCAAAGGCTGCAACCATTGCAGATTTGCACTCGAAGGTGAGAATAAAATGGCAATATTTAAAACATAATAACTCCTAAAAAATGCAAGCGTATGTTAAGGACTGTAAATGATAACTGTTACATATCTTTCTCAGATTTACCAGAACATCCAAATAGCACAACAGAGACAGAAAATCTCTTTTGAAAAACGCAAGGGAAAGAATGTGAAATCTTTCCTGATTAACGTTGGAGATGAGGTCCTAAGAGCGAATAAGAGGAAGGAGGGCCGAAAAGGTGGAAAACTGGAGTGCAACTGGTTTGGCCCTTATGTGGTTTCCTCAATCACCAACAAGGGTGTGGCAACCCTGTTGAGCTCAACAGGAGCTCAGCTGAGACGGAGTGTGAATGTGTCTCAGCTGAAGCCCTTTAGCAGGCCTATGTTGAGAGGTATTTTGATTATCAATACAAGGACACATTTTAGGTATACTTCATGTGTGGTACTTCAATAATACTGTTTATTTTGTGTCTATCTAATAACAGCTGAACCGAAGTTGGATTCGGAGGGGTCTGTTGCTGACCACCAGTATGCCCTCTCTGGTGCGAAATACGCAAAGGATCTACATCCGATTCAAGACAAGCTGGTAGATATATGTTTACTTCATGCACAGTGATGGAGGTGCATTGTTTTGATTTTAATTTTTCTATGTTTTCTATTGGCTTGAAGTATGTTTTGCAATCTGTTATTTGCAGCTCAGCTATGTGCTAGACCACAATAGGCCTGGAGCAGAGGTCATTGTGAAGGAGGGTGATGTGTGCCTGACCAGAGAGGACTTTTGGAGCCTGGGTCTTCCTCAGTGCATGGAGTCAAATGTAGGTATACTTGAGCTTTCCTCCCAACTTCATCTTGTCTCAAATAAATGGCACAGGTAACTTACTGTTGTTACTGTTTCAGATTGGAAACACGTGCCTGAAGATGGTACAAGAAGCCACCCAAAGACATGTACGGTTTTCAACAGACATCATTGGCCTGCTTTTTTCTTTTGAATAACACATATTTTCTAAATAGCTGTTTAGTGGTGAAACTCCAATCTCGTGAAGTGTGGTTGTCTCTTGTTGTTGAACATACTTCTATGAAGATTTCATTTTTTTTGAAAAACTATCAATATAGGGCAAAGATATATACATCGTGGATATGTATGTGGTTCCTACCTGGAAGTCCAAAACAGCTGACGCGTTGGCCAGTTTTCCAGTAAGTTCCTGTTGCTTGAGACCTATGTTTCTTGAAATTGATATACAGCAACTTAAAATCCCTTGTTTAAAATACTAGGCTGACCAATTGGCCACCAAGGACATGGTTTTCATCCCTGCCTGGAGTCGGCAGCAAGGAAAGGCAGATCACTATTTGCTTTGCGTGAGTCTGTTCCAAATGATCTCACCAGCATGTACAAAATGAACATAAGTTGTGCTGTGTGGTTTTCTTCTGGTGTTTGATTATGTCTAA